TCTCAGGTTTAAAATATTCATTGCATTCTTTTTCAGGTTTTCTGATTTTCTATTGAGAACGTCTGTCTTCCATTGATTTCAAGTGTCTACCTTTATCTCATTGGCACATGGTTGAGATGCCCACAACAAAACCCGTTCCCAGCAAGCCAATTCTCACTCACCAACCCTTTATAGGGTCCCAAGACTTTACATTTTTTATAGGCGCAAACAGCCTCTTATTTCTCTCTCAGAGTGGCTGTTGGGTTTGAACCGCCAGTCTTGAGGTTAGCAGTTGAAATTTTCAGCATTTGAATCATCTTGTGGTTGACAATTGTTGATTGTCTTTTTCATTGAGAAATGTTCACATTTCCTTGGTTCTTTGTGTGTCAAATACGTTTGCCTCGTATCCTGAACTTTTGAGTATTTTGTGTTGACAGTCTGAGTCCTGTTGATAGTCTCTGGAGAATGTGGGTGCGTCCACTTAGCCTTCAGATGTCACCTTTCTTTCTTGCCTTACGTAGGTCCCAATGTCAGATCCGTTTTTAATTTTTTCTATGTTGTTTTGGGCCTGTGCCGTATGTGTCCTGATCAGGTTAGGGATAAGTCTGGGACTTGGGCAGGGAGTTACCTCATGGGTTAGTTTTCAAAGCCTTTCTCTGCTGCTGTGGTCTGCCTTGTGTACACATAGCTCAGAAGTGGACCCAGGCCTTGTGCCAATTCATGCCTAGAAGGAGGAGGCTGTCTTCTCCAGCTCATTCCTTGGTAGTAGTGTTCTCACACTCTGGCTCCCGGAGCCCCCCTTTTCCAGCCCTTTGGCCAGAGAAACGATGTTCCTCTCGGAGCCAGGCTCCCATGCTACCATTGCAGCAGTCTAAGACCAGGAGAGAAGAGGGAGAAAAACAATAACAAAAACCAGACAGGAGCCCAACCTTACTTGGTGTGCTTCTTTAGGCTTTGACTCTTCTCCACACTCTTACCTATTTTTATTTTTTAGAGTTCTCAGTGAGGTGGTTTGTTTTTGCTTTTTGGTCTGAAATTTTAAATTGTGATGGGTGGGAAAGAGTCTGTAGTGATGCTACTCTTTATTCTGTAAGTTTCCCATCAAAACATGGTGGGGAAAACTCTGATCTTAATAATAAATTATATAATCTTAGCCATCCTAATTAGATCTTCAAATCAACCTAATGGCGAAACTCAGAGAATTTATCACTGGTTATTAAATCAAATTTAAACTCTTCAAAGTATCGCCATCAAGTCCATTCTGAGTCCTGGTGGCCTCGCGAGACAGAGTGGGACTACTGCACAGGACTGTCCCAAGGACTGTAATCTTCTTCCAGGAAGCCCACTGCCATCTCTCTCCTACGTTGCAGCTGATGGGTGTAAACCTTTTGGTTGACAGTCAAGTGCTTTTATCATAGACCTTTTAAAGGGGGCTAAAAAGGTTCTAGCCAGAACGTCCTCTGATTTCAAGGTATATATATATTTTCCCCTCGAGAATAAAAACTTTCTTTAGGGTATTTCTTTTCCTTGCCCTGCTTCTTTGTGTTTTGTCTATTTTCACAAACTAGAAAATTTAAATCCAACGACTAGTAGTCATCTCACCAACGGTGAATTCTTTTACTTTAGACAATTCCAGGCGCGAGTATCTCGACAGACTCTGTTGACACTGGAGAAAGAAGAGGAGGAAGAAAGTTTTGAACCTTCTGCACCACAGCGAAGCACTCTGGCTGATTTAAAAAGCAAAGGGAAAAAGACAGCAAGAGCTCCTATCAACCGTGTAGGGGGTGCTCTCAGGGGTGAGTTTGGTCAGTGTCTCAGGGCAGAGTTGTTAAATGGAAACTCTTAGTTTCAGGTGGTAGACAAGTTAGAAAAGGAGCTAACGCTTAAATATATATACAGTGAACCCTCGTTTATCGCGATTAATCGGTTCTAGACCCTACCGTGATAAATGAAATTCCGTGAAGTAGGATTCCTTATTTGTAAATCAAATATTTTTGTAGTTAGAGCATAGAGGACATGAAAAAACACCCTTTAGTCACCATTACACTCGTATTACCCAATTTATTAAACGAAAAAGGGAAAATACAGTAAAACATTTTGGACGTTACAATTATCATTTATTATTTATGGCATCTAGTTTACAGTATTACATATTTCACATACAGTATTATCATACATAGTTCTTACAAATACTGTAATCAATAGCCTATGAAATGACTTAAGGGATGTACTCTACAGGTGGGTCGCCGTCTTTTTCCTCTGAAGGAGCGGGTGTAGGCAGTGGGTGCTGTTACGCAAAAACCGCGATAGAGTGAAGCCGCGGAAGTCGAAGCCCGAAGTGGCGAGGGTTCACTGTATGTGTGTGTGTGTGTACTGTCCTAGTTTTCTGGGTACTAGGTAGCAAAAAGAAGAGTCTAAGGAGAGCTAAATTACAATGTTCAGTAAAACCAAAATGTGTCAGCAAAACCTGGTATGTAGGAAGTATCAACATTTTCTGGGATTACGGGTTGTTAAATAAGTAACATTATGATAAATATATTGTATTTAAAGAATGTTAAAAAGCAAAGTTGTCCCTTGAAGACTGACCCAACCCATGGCATTTTGATATTTTCAATAGCTTTGTATGCATTTGAAAGCTAGACAATATGTTAGGCTGGGTTCTGTGGAGAAGCAAAACCAGTGAGACACACACACACACACACATTATATTTAAAAAATGGTTCACACAGTTGTAGATTTCGTCAAGGTGAGTCCAGGTCCAAGTCCAAGAGTCAGATGTTAAGAAGCTGGAGGCCTCTCCTGACTCATAGCTTTGAGGGTCAATGAACCTCAATTAAGCTTGTCAGAAACACCACAGGTTGGTGGCTGTAGAGGCAGATGAACCCAAGATCAACAGCTCATGTCTATGATCGGAAAGGTAAACTAATCCAAGGTTGGCTGGTCAGATAGTAGCTGCAGGTAGCTCCTAGAATTAGAAGGCAATATGGCAAGCCATTGGTTCAAGTCCAAAGAACCAGAAATTGATGAGCCAGATGCAGGCTCCAGACCCAGCAAAAAGCAAGCAAGTGTGCCCGCATTGTCCACTTACACAGTAAATAGATCACACTCCCAAGACAACGTCCTTTGAGTTGCATCAAGGGCTGTGACGTAGGTAAGGGGGTTGCATTCCACTGTGATCTTAGAACTGCATGGATCCTCACAGCAGAGCTCTTTGTGGAGCTGGTTCTGTTGTGTTGGGTCACATTATAAGGGATTACCACTGGGAATCCTGGCCCAGCTAAATTGACACAAAACCTAGTAATCACAATGGAAGGAAGACGGAAGAAGATTTGATGGCTTTGAATTATGGGATTAACAAATATTGATTGGATTGCCAGAAAAATGAACAGATTTGTCTTGCAAGATATACAGCCAGTATCCTATGCCCTTAGAAGCAAGGCTATTGAGACTGTCTCACATACTTTGGACATGTTATCAGGAGGGAACTAGTCCTTGGAGAAAGACATCATGTTTGGTAAAGCAGAAAAGGAGCAAGACTCTCCACAAGATGGAATGACATAGTGGCTGTGGCAGTAGCTGTGAGGATGGTGATGTGATTGGAGGACGTTGAAGGTACTTAGATAGGGTCACTGTGCGTGGGAACCTGACAACAATTCAAAGAAGAGAGGTCAGAATATAGTAGGTATTAACCAGACATGCACCAGGGCCCCAGAGAATGGTGTTCACATGGTTAAGGATTTCTTGTGTCTTTGGGGACCAAAAGTTGAAATCTTGATACACCCAAAGATGATCAGCAATAAACTTTAGTTAATTAAGTTTTTAACTAAATAGACATGTTTTGTCTCTCCCTCCTTCTCCGGTGTCAGTCTGGTTTGGGAGCTGAATGGACTCGCCAGCATGTTGCTTGGCACATCTGGAGTTAAGCCCCAGAGGGACACAGAGGGATGTTTACCCGCATTGCGTTGAAGCCCTGTAACAGACAGCACTTCTGTTGACGGGGCTGACTTGTGTTCGGATTCTCATCTACATTGAGAGGAAATCTGACACTGGCAGGTGGAGACTTAGATTAGGTTAGTTTCTGATAAAAACGAACAATATTAAAATGATGACTGAAAGAAGATGTAGAATTTGTTGGGAAATCTTTTAATAACCGTCGAGAGGGGAAGAGAAAGGGAAAGGCAGTGCTAGAGTTAAAGTAACTAACAGAATGGGTAAAACATGACTAATTGGTTGTTTAAGAGGTTTTTTAAAAAAACTATTAAAATTTTTCTTTGATTCTATGGTAGTTGTTCTTGACTTAGGGAAGACTAAATATAACTTATCTGGTTGATAATTAAAGTTTTTATTTGAAGTTTTTACTTCTTTTAGCCTCGAGCCAGAACAGAGGACTCCAAATTGCAGCTCCTCAACAGATGCTTACTAATTCTAGAATTACTGTTTTCGATGAAAATGCTGACCTGGCTTCTACAGCCGAGTTGTGTAAGCCTGCAGTCCAGCCATGGGTGGCACCCCCTGTGGCCAGGGCTAAAGAGAACGAGCTGCAGGCTGGCCCGTGGAACACAGGCAGACCCTTGGAACAGAGGGTGAGTATCCCAGACCCACGTGCTTGCCAGCATAGCCAAACTGCAGGCAGAGAGTACAGAAGTGTTTGTAGCGTCTCTTTTCATTCCTCTTGAAATTTCAGACCTGGTCTGTAGATTGAGAACGTCAGACCGTAGTGATTCTAATTTTCTTTATCATCACAGCCTCGTGGCAGTACAGCTTCCGTGGCAGCTGTGCCCTCTGTGCTTCCCAGTTTTACCCCCTATGTGGAAGAGACTGCACAACAACCAGTTATGTGAGTTCAATTACAAAATAATTTAAAAGTGGACATTTTCTTTTCCTCTTTTGACCATGAGGATTTAAAAAAAAATGTTTTTATAAGGGGCTCATACAACTCTTATCACAATCCATACACACATCAATTGTGTAAAGCACATTTGTACATTCATTGCCCTCATCATTCTCAAAACATTTGCTCTCCACTTAAGCCCCTGACATCAGCCCATTTTTTCCCCTCCCTCCCCGCTCCTCCTCCCTCATGAGCCCTTGATAATTTATTAATTATTATTTTGTCGTGTCTTGCCCTCTGACGTCTCCCTTCATCCACTTTTCTGTTGTCCATCCCCCAGAAAAGTGGACAATTTTGAGAGTGAACAGAAGTGCCCACCCTCGTTCCAGAAAGTGGGTTTTTTTTATCAGCATGACATTAACCAGACCAAGTTCTGTTTCCTTTATGTCTGTATTCCTTTGAGTTTTCCAGGGTTGAATAGTCTAATAAGATAGTCACCGTGTTCTACCTTTGTTACTGACAATAATTCGAAATTGTTGTTATTTCCCTCTCATCCAGCTCTTTCATTTTGGACATTGCCCTTCCCCTCCTCCCCGTGTGTGTTTTTATTTGTAAGGAAACATGATTCTTCATGATTAGGTAAGCAGGCACTCTCTAGACGCAGTCTGATATCTGACACTGCTCAGTTCTACACGTTTGCTTTTGCGTCCCGTGAGGGTTTTTCAGGAGCCGGGGTGTGTTGTGGTTGCGAGTTGGACGGCTATGCCCGTCATCGGCAGTTTGAAACCACCAGCTTCCAGAAACAGTGGCAGTCTGGTAATCCGCAGGGCTCGCTGTGAGTCGTCATTGGCTCCATGGCAGTGACTGGTTTGGTTTTGGTGTTGTAAGTTTCTTGTCACTCTTCCAGAGCCCCTACAGGTGAGGTGTGGTACAGGAGTGCAAAATAAGATTCTGAACAAGTCTCTTGATAGGAGCTCAACTCACAGGATCGCCTTCAGAAATTTATGGACATACTATGGACATTCTTTTTGCTGACCTAATTATTTTGGCAAAATAGGAATTGTATAAAAAATAGGTTGTTGAAAACATTGAGCTTTATTTCTATTTTATTTCAACTACATTCATGGTATCTTTGACCTCTTTCTAGCGTTTTTCTTTAGATGTGCTTTCCTTTTTTTTTTAATCATTGAGGACTCATGCAACTCTTCATCACAATGCATCCATCCATCCATCCATTGTATCAAGCACATTTGTGCATTTGTTGCCATCATCATTCTCAAAACATTTTTTTTCTACTTGAGCCCTTGGTATCAGCTCCTCACTTTTTTCCCCTCCCCTCACGAACCCTTGATAATTTATAATTTATTATTATAATTTTCATGTCTTACACTGACCGATGTCTCCCATCACCCACTTTTCTTTGTCTCTCCCTCAGGGAGGGGGTTATATGTAGATCATTGTGATCAGTTCCTACCTTTTCCCCCACCTTCCCCTTATCCTCCTGGTATCACTACTCTCATCATTAGTCTCGAGGGGTTTATCTGTCCTGGATTCCCTGTGTTTCCAGCTCTTATCTGTACCAGTGTACATGCTCTGGTCTAGCCAGATTTGTAACGTAGAATTGGGATCATGATAGTGGAAGGGAGGAAGGATTGTGCTTTTCTTAATGATGTCTAGAAGCTCTTCATAGATAAGAAAATTAGCTAAAATCTATGATATAAATTGAAAATATTTTCCGCTGGTCACTTTTCTTTTTACTTTGTATAGTGGTAACCATTATATATGTTAAATTCTTGTGTAGTCATTTTTGCCTTCTGTGTCCCCTTTGTTCTTTGCTGGGTTTATTGTAGCCTAACAACTTTCCCTATTTACAGTAAAAAATGGTGTGGGGACAGCGCCTGACTTCATCTAACTTCACAGGGGCAAGTGTCAAGATCAACAGCTTCAGCCACTCAAGACAGATTACTGTGAGGCAGAGGCCAGACGTGCCTCCACCCTCCCGCCATTTTACCAGTTCTCACCCCAGTCACCCCTCGGTAGCACTTTCTGCTTCTTTGCTGGGTGCATGAGTTCATGCAATGATGACAGAACTCACAGATGATACTTGCCGTTTGGGAATTTATTAGGGAAACAACAGGTTACAATTCAGCATCAGTAACTACTCAGGATACACTTCCTTAGTCAGGACAGCCTGGCTTGTAGGCTTGCCCAGGGCCCGTGGCCCTTTAGTCTCTGCTCTGCTCAGCCTAGTGTTGCAAAACTATTTTAGCCCAAAGGCACCTGACTCTGCCAGTAAACTTTGACCCTAACGCATTCAGCTCTAGTTCTCTGGGTTGGCAAACTTCACCCCACTCTGCTGGCAGGCCCGCTGCCTGAGGCACTCGGCTGCTCAGTGTTGCTTCTGCTGCTGCTGGTTCTCGTCCCTGCTTCTCACTGCCTCACACCAGCTCTGACGTCACAGCTCCTGCTTTCCAGCTCCGGGATCAGCAGTTCTCAACTTGTGGGTCGTGACCCCTTGGGGGTCAAATGACCCTTTCACAGGGGTCGCCCGATTCACAACAAAATGACCGTGATGAAGTAGCAACGAAAGTAGTTTTTATGGTTGGGGGGCCACCACGTGCGGAACTGTATCAAAGGGTTGTGGCATTAGGAAGGTTGAGACTCACTGGCCTGCATGGAGGGAAGTTGTCAGCTCAAAGACCCAGGGTCCAAAGGACACTGTCCACTCCTGGCCCTTCTTTCTTGGTGATTGTGAGGTCCTCCTTTCCACCTCTAGGATGGCTCATATTAAAACTAGTGAGATGACAAAGCTGGCCAATCCCCTCCTTAGCCTCCCATCCATCCACCTTATTTGCATGGTTCTATCCTCCAAAGAGTGCCACATACCTTATTTACATTATTAGCAAGCTATCCAGTCCCCACAATCCGGTCAACCACAAGGCTTTCACATCTGATAGCCCTACCATCCATTTGGTGGGAGTTACAAAGGCCTTATCTATCTAGAACCTTACTGCACCACACCTGGCTTCCAGTTTCACCCTGCCCCGCCCATTCTCCATGCATCTCTATAATGCAAAACTGAGCAGTCATTTCCCTGATCAGATAGGGAAATAAACCCTATAATAAACCCTGGAATCTTGAAGGTAACCAAGCGGCCATCAAGCTCAGAAGCAACAAAGCCCACATGGAAAAAGCACACCAGCCTATGCAACCACGAGGTGTCGAAGGGATCAGGTGTAAGGCATCATCAGAACAAAAAATCTTACCATAGTGAACGATGGGGGGAGTGTGGAGTGGAGATCCAAAGCCCATTAGTAGGCCACTGGAGATCCCCTTGCAGAGGGGTCTCGGGGAGGAGAGGAGCCAGTCAGGGTGCGATGTAACAATGATGAGAAATACAACCTTTCTCTAGTTCCTAAAGGTTTCCTCCCCGCTCCCACTACCATGACTCAAATTCTATCTTGCAAGACTGGCTAGACCAGAGGAGGTACACTGGTACAGATAGGAACTGAAAATACAGGGAATCCAGGATGGATGAGCCCTATAGGACCAGTGGTGTGAGTGGCAAAACAGGGAGGGTAAAGGGAGAATGGGTAGGAAAGAGGGAACTGATTACATGGAACTGTGTGTGACCTCCTCCCTGGGGGACAGACAACCGAAAAGTGGATGAAGGGAGAAGTCGGACAGGGCAAGATATGACAAAATACCGATTTGTAAACTATCAAGGGCTCATGCGGGAGGGGGGAGCGGGGAGGGAGGGGGAAAATGAGGACCTAATGTCGGGGGTTTAAATGGAGAGAAAATGTTTTGTGAAATGATGTACAAATACGCTTTACACAATTGATGTGTGTATGGATTGGGATAACAGTTGTATGAGCCCCTAATAAAATGTTTAAAAAAAAACAAAAAAAAAGAAAACCCTGGAATAACCCTAAGCCTCTTAACCATAATTATAGAACCCTTCATGATTTGACCTCTGCTAACATCTGCAGTCTTCTCCCCTCTATGGAGTCACACTGAGCTATTCTTAATGTCTGAACTTGTCTACAATAATCTCTCAGCTCTCCCCCTGGCTAATTCTTAAAGGGATGTTATCCTTTCCAGAGACCTTTTGTGAAGTGAAGTGTTTCCTGTCACTCATCCATTCTGCCTTAGCTGTGCTTGTATTCAGTATCACTGTTTGCCTCCTGTCACGGCCCTGCTTGTTCCTTCTCACTCCCTTTCCTCCCCACTCAAGAGCAACCTCCTTTGGATAGGGACTGTCCCTCCAGCTCTAACTTCGTACTAAGCACAGAGTAGGCACTTGAGTAAGTATATTCAATTAAATGCATGTTCATTGAATGATTATGTGGATGAAATGAACTACTTCTGGAAATAAATTTTATGTAGTGAAGTTGCAGAGAGTATTTAAATAACTAATTAAATACACAACTTAGTTTGGATGCCAAGAAGTATGCCTGTTTTATTATCCTTAATTTTAAGTTGCTTCTTATAGAATTTTAAACTGAATTTTTAAAATGTTTAATTGTGATTTAAGTGGAAATTTATAGAGCCAATCAGTATTTCATTCAACAATTCGTACATTGTTTTGAAGAGATAGAAATAAAAATAAACTTTATTTTTAAACATAAGCTTCATTAAGGTCAAAGCACTTTTATAAGCAATGATATCAGTCATGTAGTCTATCCCTAAATAAATGAGGTCTTCGAATTAGTGGAGCATCCCTCGCACATATTTTGTTACATGAAGTAACAACACTCATCCTAGTTCCTCCCCTTGTTTCTCATGTCCATTTGTCTGCCTTTTCTGTGCGTCCTGCCATGGCTCTGGCCAGATGTCTCCTTTGGATGTCATGGGTTGATCTAAGTAGTCTGTACCATCTACTGTTACTGTTCACCTTACACGGATGAGTTCACTTCCTGGCTTGCAGGTGACTTGGTGCCCTCCTCTCTAGCAGACCAGTACGCCTGGTCTTCTTTAATTTTGAGCTTTCTTCCTATTGTCAT